TTTAAAACGAATGCGCAGTATGTTTGTTTTTTGATTACGCACTTAGTAACTTTTACACAGTAAAAAAAGAATCAGTTTTAGCGTAGTACATAGTTTGAAAAGCTCAATAATTAATTTAAAGGAACCTATTCAAAGATGTGAGTATGATTTGGATATCTTTCTTCCTGACAGCAGTACCTGTAGACATATCTAAAAATTGTTATTTTATTGCACACACAATTAATTAACTACGTAAGTATAATAGTTACTGAACACTAAATTTTATACTGATGACCTATATGTAATATTGAGCAGCAAATTATACTGAGTGTTTACAAAATAAAAAAGTATTGAGCATTTAATTTTATTCTCATGTCTTTATCATCGTTTTGTTTAATCGTTGAGAAATGCAATGAGCAAGTAGTACATATATTATAACAAGACGTTGGTAAGGATATTTGTCACATCTGGGATTGGGTCTCTAAATTTTACCAATATACTTCAATAAATCCTTTACATCATGTATCACAGAGTAAATTAGATAATTATCATCTAGATCAACATCAAGAGCAGTGACACGGTAAGTGTTAATTGACAAAATACATTACATCTTTTTTCATTTCGATTAATCCTTCAAGCAATTTCACCTGTAAGTGTTATTTCATCAGCTATATTATGATCTTTTGTATTTAAATTAATATTAGCTATAATTTTATCGGTAAAGATAATTGAAAAAAAAACTATATTTTGATATTGACGTAAGTGGTAAAAAGAATCATCTCTTTCAATTATGTGAAGCTCATAAGAATATATCAACAAACGATGTCGTTTACGGAAGTTTATACTAATTATATTTTTCGAAATAGATTCACAAGGAAGTTATTCCGATGTTTAGAGGATCTTTGTTGTTAGTTTTTTTTTTGGGCAGTTTTTAAAGGACGTATTAGGAATTCTTTTATGAAAAATTATTTGACATCCTCAATTTTATTTCAATATAACGCACCTTTTTTTTTCTCTTATAAAATTCTTCATTTTTCTGTATTGCGAAGAATCATCATCGAGTACAATGTAAGATAATATATTGATTCTAAACAAAAAGTTTTCAATTGTATTCACTATTTTGTTTTGTCTCTACAGAGATATATACGAAAATGAAGATTCAAAAGAAATAGTTTTTCTGTTTGAGATTAATTTTTTCTAAGTGATATACACATTAGAAGGATTCTTACATGAACTTTCTCAACAATAACTCATCGTTTCGACGTGAATTAACATTTAGTTAGAGGCACTCATTCATAGAGACGAGGTTATAGAAAGACTTATTTAAAAAAATTTTCTGTATAAAGTGAATTCATTTGATAAAAGAGTTAATAACAAAGCGAAACTATTGTTAAAAAGTAAAGTGAATTGGTCCATATTAGCGACTATCAGTTCTTCTTGAAGACTTTTTTTAAAGACAGTGGATTAGGATATGCATTAACATTAAAAGCTTTATTTTGATTGATAAGTGTATTAAATAGTATTAATTTATATCAAGATCAATCCTAATGTGACATGCTTTTCATCCGACAATCAGATATTTTAATCCATTGTTGACTCTTGATTATGGAGAACTAAGGTTAGTTGAATCAAACCGAACTCTAACTAGTTTTTGAAAAATGAATCTGAACCAAGCCGAACTTGGTCCAACAAAACCTGGTTCGATCCGATCGTCAATACAAACTAATGAAAACGCAGGTGCATTTGTATACAAGACTCAAAAATATAGAAAACAATGTTCAAATAAATGCGACTCTAACATATGGATTTGAGTGAGCATATTCTCGTCATATATGTACCTACAATATATTAGAGTACCACTATAAAACTATGATAAAACTTCTTTCAAATCTCGCTTCGACTTCATTCTTATATTCATGTTAGCAAATTATAGCTACTTATTTATTTTACTAATGATGCTTGCGATGTTTTCTATACTTTTGTGCACTCTCTCAATTACCAGACGGGATATTCTTGAAGCCTTCGCTAAATTTTATTTTTTTGATGAAGAAAAAATGTTGTAGCCATAATGCTTTTCAAGTATTGTTCGCTTTGCCTTACTTAACTAAGGAGAAATAATTTTAATTGAGAGTTTTTCGACACTACTTCTTACTCTTCTGGTTTTGGTTGATTGAAATTGTAGTCTGTACTCTAGTATTCTAGTCGAAGTCGAACAATCTCATATTTCGATGCTATCAGAACCTTTGAGATTCCATAGCGTCTCATTGATCTATACAAATAGGCGTATGGAAATCATTTTCGAATTCCTATAGTGCTATCATCTGATCGGATTCTGCACGACTTTGATGAAATTCGAAGGAACTCAAGCTCCGAAAACCCTATCATATGCAACTCCAGTCATTGTTAGGATATTCATCGTATTTCCACTGTCGTTTATGATCATTTTATGACAATAGAATCCTACCGGATTCCTGAGATAGGATTTGTTCTACTGGGTTTATCTTACAGAAAATCAAATTTAAGTCAAAGAAAAATTCTCAACATGTATTAAAGAAGAGATAAGGCTGACTCTGACGAACTTTTTTGTATTCTTAAGGTACTGTTATTAGCTGAATAGTGAACAAACTCTTGTATATTGTCTTCTAGTATAAGTATCATCTTTGACTCTCTTGCATATTCAACTCAACTCTAGTCGATTCTTTGCCAGTGAAATATGCCCATCACATATACGGGCGGTGCTCAAAATTATGATTTTAGTTAATTACTTTTGATTTTCCCCAACTACATTTAGATGACTGGAAAATCAATAGACATTTTGCCAGGAGACTTTGACAACAAGGATTATCAACAATTAGTAGTTAGTTGTTTTTATAGATAAGACAAATGATAGGTATGCCTTTAACAAACCCCTACAGGCACGTGTGATGAAGAAGAAATAGCATTGCTTAGTAATTAGACGAGTCGATACAGCCTGTGGTCGATCATTAACGATTATTGTTTTTCAAACGTTTGAAATCAAGGTAGGTTCTCATTTCAGCATTAACTATTTGATGTGTAGAAAAGTGCTCTATTTATTTAAAATCTTGAGTACTTTTTCAATGAACTTAACATCAAACAACCGTTATGAACGTTTTCTATGTTCAAAGACAAAATCGCGTATTACTGATTGACTGCTTTCATCAGTATTCACAGAACCGTTTGATTTCAAACGTTCGTTCTTTCTCTTTTTTTCCATACTTCTCGATTGCTCTCCTAAATACCTCATTGTTTAAAACTCTTGTTTAAGCATTTCTCATCTCGTTTATCTATTTACAATACCATGTAATCATTTGAATTATTCTGGTTAGACGAAAGAGAAAACAAACAACTTCACGATCTATTTAACAGTAACAAAAATATGTCTACATGAGTGCCATTCAACGATGCATAAGTGATGTTTTTTGAAACAGATATTTTTAACTTTTCAGCTTCCAAACAATCAATGCAAGTTAGTAGCGTCAAGAAATGCCAGACAATCATCTATATTGCATGAGAAATCAGTATATCATCTACTATAGAAGATGAATAATGTGTCTGAGAATACAAAGGAGATACATTTTTTTTTCTTTCATTATTCTCTATTTTCTACATATGCGACGTCTTTTTCTAATCTTAGAAATAACATTCTTTGATTGCTGATGTAGTTCTGTTTGAATGACATGATTAACAGTAAGATGTACATGTCATTCCTACATACGTTTTTCTAATCTTTTTTATTTTCAAAAAGAACATCACGATGTGAAACATTATTTTTTAATTCATATTTTAATTTGACTATGATTTGCTTGTCGAATCAGATGTTGGGTGTTCTCATGAATTCCTATATCAAACCAATTAGAGTCTCAAAAACAAAAATGTAACGGATAGACAGAGTAGCACTTCAGAACGGAACAAGTATGAGAGAAAATTGTATTAGATGATTTTCTCACGGCTATTCATAAACAACAACTAATTAATTGTCGATAGACATCGAGGGTATAAGCACAAATATGTGTATCCTCGATAAGTGCAAAAAAAAAATTAAAAAAGACATGACTCCGTGAGACGTTGCGAGCTGAACAAAGTGCCACAAGGTTTCTATGCAACTCTCGGCAGACTTGTGTGTTTAGATGAGAATATAAAAGGAACTAACAACAATTACAAATCTTTCTTTTTTCATGGTTAGAAATAAAGTGATGGTGTGTATGGTAATGAATGAGTTTTCTCGTATTTAGCCTCCATTAGTTTTTCCTCTTAATCTCTTGATCCTATCATTTTTTCTCACAGATACATTATGATATTCTAGACTAGATGATTTAAAAACATAATCGAGATCATTCTTCAATATACGGCAGGTTTATAAGTCAATTTTCGCAGTACTTTCCAAAATAACATTTTTTTCATAATCTGCTCGATAAGTTGGTAGTCATTATCGATTCAACGTATAATAACTAGTGTAGAGAGTTCTGAAAATAGAAAGAATTATTGATGATAAGAGTTTCATACAGGAGAGAAATTAACAGAATAGGTGCTGTGATAAATTTGAAAAGCAGTTAGAAATGCTGTCGATAAATTCATTTTATTTTGAAAATTAGTATCAGTTATTTAGGCAGTCAATAAGAACGCTTGTAAGAAATCAGCCATTTTGAAAAATTTTAAGAAAAGATTAGCGGTCATTTTGTCGCACCATGCTTATCATTGCATGAAAACTGAGTATGTTCCTTTGCATCATAAGCTTCCGACGTAATGATCTCTCTATAACAACTTGATACTCATTGGTAACAAAAACATCTAAAATTCGATTAAGGTCACAAGAATATAATTTTCAAGTACTTATAGAAGGATATATTATCTTAATTTGCTATGTAAACAATAATAGATTATCAGTAAATGAATTCGCACAACAAACCCATAACACATATTGTTTCTCATTCAAAAGGAAATTTTCACAGAACAATAAATTTTGTAAGCATAATTTCTATTGTTTTCAGATCACGTTTATCATGGATCAATTGAATTCGACGATGTCTTCAATGTCGGATGCAGATTTGATTGTTGCAATAAATAATGTCACACGTCAACTCGTTCGTTATTGTTCAATTTTTATCTTTCTTTTTGGTTCGATTGGGAATATTCTCAATGTTCTGATTTTATCTCAAAAACAATTTCGTTCTAATCCATGTGCTGTACTTTTTCTATTCTCATCAGTGGTTAATTTTATCGCTATTGTTTCTGGTCTTCTTTCTCGAATATTGTCTGATTGGGGAGCTGATCTAACAGCAACAACTCGAGTTTTTTGTAAACTTCGTGGTTTTGTTGTGAATATGGCAAGACCAATAGCAATTTGGTATATACTTTTTGCTATAATTGATCGATGGCTTTTATCAAGTCTTAAATTACACCATCGACAAATGAGTTCATTGAAAAACGCTAAACGTGCTATGATTATCAGTCTCATGGTGGCTATTGTGATTTTTTCACACATTATCTATTGTCATGAGCCAAATCTTATCAATGCTCCACAAAAATGTTATGGTATAACACTAACATGCCGATTAGTGACAGATATATCATTTACGTTTTTTTCTATCTTTCCTTTGCCTCTCATGTTAATGTTTGGTTTGATGACTATCTACAATATTCGTCAGTCAAGAAGCCGAATTGCTCATAGGTCAACATCAAAGGTAACAAACAACGTGACAGCTAATGCGAATCAAAGACATCGAATGACCAAGCAAGATCAAAATGTATTAGTTATGCTTCTTGTACAAATTTGTATTCTTTTCATATTATCTATTCCGTTGGCTGTTCAGAAATTATACTCAGCAATAGTGGATGGTAGAACATCATCTGCATTGCAAGAAGCCATTGAAAATTTGGTTTATAGTCTTGCTCAATTACTTCATTTTGTATCAAATGGAATACCATTCTATATCTATACATTGGCTGGTGGAAAAGTCTTTCGTCAAGCCATAGCCAAATTCTTTAGTAATATAAGACATAAAATTTTTCATAGATGACGACGATTTTATTGTTTGCAATTTCAAATATATTTAGCATGGTGTCAGGACAAACTAATACTTATATAGCTAATTGCTGAAGAGAACTATCGAATAGCATAGAACAAAATAACGTATTATCATGAAAACCTCATCAAATCAACGAGATCACTGTGAAAAACTTTTGAGGATCAAGCAATATGATATTTAGTATCCATGTTTGTAAAAATATTATAATTTTATTGTTGTTTTGTTTGCGATTGTAAATGGCTTCTTATAGCTAGAGATTAATAAAAGAACATACTACATGTTGTAACATAGTTAAAAATCTCATCAACTTCTGCACTAATTTTAAAGCGTGAAATGTATCAACATGCTCTGATCATTGTTTATTTTGGATATAATTCGACACAGACAAAACATGGAATTTCGACTTGTTTTTAAAGATACTCGTAGAGATAATGATAAAAAGTTACAAAAGTGGCTGCATTAGTTCATTCATTAAGAACTAACTAATGCTAGCGGAATATTTGCTACAAAATTTTAGTTTGATTCCTCGTCTAACCAATAGTTGAAGGTGAGATAACATTATAATACAGAGAATGAGATCCATGTCTCATTGTATGTTTATCAAATACAAAAAAGAAAAAAGATAAAAATATTAATACTGAATTTTTTCATAAATGGACGGATGCTAATAGAAATATGAATTTATTTTAAAGAACTAAGATAATAACAACTACCACGAAAAAGATCAATTGATAATTGTCGTTCTGGAATTGTAAGATGATAAATAGCTGATGAATTTTGTTTGCTCACTCTAATTGTTAATAATACTTCAAGATAATTAATTTGAACTTGAACAAAATCAAGTAAGGATGGAAGTTGAGGACAAATATGTAATCCATCAGTCTTAGCTATAACACCTACAAAACCATGTAGAAACGACACAACAGCAATACCTGATTCAGGAAATGGAAAATTACTTCCAATTTGTACAAAATCTTCTCCAAAATCATCTCGTATTCGTCCTTTTTCATAATTAAATGTTAAACAGTTAGAATCATTATCAACACGTTCTAACATGCTAGTCAATACTTTGAAAGCCTCATCAGTATAGTTAAAACGAAGACGAGCCATAACATCATAGTATGTTAACCACATCATTGTTCCACCACTTTCAACAAGACCACCATAAGGTCTTCGTCCTTCAGTTGGATCTGACCATCCATCCCAATCCGATTGAATAACATTTTCTGTTGTAGTTCTTGGAGCTACAACATTATGATAAACATCCGTACTTCCATTATGTGGACCAATAAGAATAGGATCAGCTGGTTGTAACAACCAATCAAAGATACGATCTGCTTTAGTACGATTACCTAAACCACGAGTAAGTGCTTCTAGATTAATAAATACATAACCATTATCATGTTGATTACCATTTTTATCAATCCAACCAACATATCTTCCTGTAGTTTCATTCCAAAAAGTTTCATCAAAGACATAACTGAAATTATCAACTAAAGATTGATATAATTCACTTTGCTTTTTATTGCCAAGAACATTTTCTAATTCAGCCATATTATTAAGAGCTGTATAAAATGTTAGTGCTATCCATGCATCTTTCCAACCTGATTTTACTTGATCCATATATGTACTTGGACGACTATTCTCTGATACTCCATCATTAATCATAATTATTGGTATACCTAAAGATCCATTCATGTTAACAATTAAAAAATTCATTACTAATTCAGCTCGTGATAAAATCGATTGAAGAAATATTCGATCATGTGTCCAAACATAATATTGATAAATAGCAGTTATAAATCGAGGTAATTGATCAAAATGATAGGAAGCAATTGACCCGTGAGATCCTCGTGCATCAGGCCATCGTTCAGAATCTAACCATGACCAAATAAATCCATCAGATAATTCACCTTTTGTTCCATTTATTCCATTAATTGGAAATTGAAAAAGTATTATTTTACTATGATTTCGATTATTCCAACTAAATTTTAATGCATCCCATTCTGCCCAAGTTGGATTATCTCCAAAACAATTATCATTTGTATCCAATTTTTCTTCACAATTACCATAAATAGACCAAAAAACATTTAATTGTTTAGTTAAAATTGAAGATGATGAATTAAATAGTGTCGAATATTCTTGACCAGGACATTTTCCTGTTAATATTTCCTGAAAGACTATAGACAAAATAATAATAAATAACATTTTATCAATCTATTCTAAACAACATACATATCTTTATATCACCATTGACATTTGTTTCTTCTATGTTTGCATGCGATTCATTATTTTTTATAACATTCTTATCTTGAATATTTACTAAACTCTTGACTAAAGAATGTGTGAAAGAAATAAGATTCATCGTTTTATTTTTTAAATTATTTCTATCTTAATTATATTTTTTGAAGTACTAGAAAAAGATACTGTTTAGCGTATTTTCAATTTTAGTATACAATTTCACCAATACAATGAAATTCTTTTTATAAAGTTCGGATCAATTGGACATACAAATCATTGTGTCAAGAGATAATAATTTTACATAATTCAAATCTATTTCAAAGAGATCATATTGATATATATTTTTCTTTTTACTTTAAGAACAAATATCTTTCGAAGTAATAACCATAATAAGAGAATGATTTATTCTTTCTTTAAAAAAAAAAAGAATATAAGATTTATAAATAGTTTATATTAGATACTCGTCAAGTTTCGGTTAATATATAATTGAAGTATTATTTCTATTTGTATGTAATTAAATATTCAGCATATGCTTGTGCATCATGATAAGTAACAAAAATATGTTTTCCATCTGTTGTTGAATCATATCCAAGTGGTCGAGTTTTCATTAAAGCATTTCCTACAGTTGTCTTTCCAACAAGAACACGAGCAAGAAACATACATCGTTCTCCACTTGAATTTGGCTTTGCAAAATGATGACTATATGCTGCATTTGATGAAAAATAAACACCAACACCAAATGCTGTTCCTATAAAAAAAAACAATATAAATGAAATCAAAAAAAACAAAACACGAGATACCATTAACTCCAGCAAAACTTCTATTAAAACAATCTTCAATAATTAAATTTGCTGCTTGTTCACAACAACCATGATATAAACTTTTTTCTGTATCTTTATTTAATCGTTTTATAAAATCTGCTCGATGCGCAAGATATTGCATAAACCATCGTTCATTTTGAATTCGTTCAATTTTTATAAGTCTTTTATAATGTCCTTTCATAGCTGCCTCAAATTTAGCAGAAATCGAATTATATTCATTAGTATTTTTTGACAAAATAAATTTTAATTTATTTTCATTTGTTTTTTGCCATGTTGAAGGTAATTGATAATCAATTGATGCATGAAAATCTATGAAAATAATAATTATCAAAAAAAAAAAAAAAAAAAAAAAAATATTTTTTTTTACTTTCATCTGATGATAAAAGTTGTTTACAAAATTCATCATAAACATTTTGTTGATTTGGTTGAATTATAAATTTCACTAACAATGATAATTTTCTATTTTGAATTTCTTTTCGAATTTCTCTTATCATTGTTTCAACAACAACATTTATAGAACAAGCATGTTCTCCACATCCAAGTGCTGGAAATGCAACTGATACATAATTATATGAAATAACATTTTGAATAACATTCCATATAAGATCAATTACAGATTGTCGAAGAAGTTCAGGATCTTTATTTGGTTCCCATTTAATAAAAAATATTCTTTTACATGGTAATTGACCTGGTGGAGTTGAAATAATTAATGAATTTGGATTATCAAGATATGTTTGATAATAAGTAGTTTCAACTTCATCTCCTCCAGCTTTTATTAAAACTTGTCTTAAATTTTCTGATGATGAACTTCCAATAATAACATCAACCTAAAATTTATTTAATAGAAATAGAAGAGATAATAATATTATTTGTTTTTTGTTTTTTTCCTAAAAAAATTAATTACATTTTGTTTTACAATATCTCCTTTTTCAATCATAATTTTTCCTTTTTCAATTGTTATTGAAGTTGAATTTGATTGTTCAATTGAATGAAGTTGTTTATAAAATTCATCATAAATATCTATTCGATCTGGTTGTATTACAAATAAAATTTGTATTGAAAATTTATTTAATTGTTCTTGTGCTTGACTTATAAATGGTTCAGCAATATGTTTAATTGAACATCCATATTCACCACAACCAATAGCTGGAAATGCAATACTTTTATAATTTTCATTTATAGCTTTTTCTATTAATGTTGATACTAATTGTCGTATTGATTGATCAAGAATATTAGAATCAGAATTAGGTTCCCATCGAATAAAATAAATAATTTTTGATGGAAGTTTACCATCTGTAGTTATACTAAAAATAGGATCTTTAGGATTTTCTTTTATTTTCATTTCGAATAATTTTTGCATAGATTTTCCACATGCCTTACAAATACTTTCAACTAAATATTTTGATAAAGTACATATTACAATAACATCACTCTAAATAATTTGACAATTCATAGTAGATTTTTTTTTTCTGAAAAAGCTAAAACTTACTTGATTATTTATAATATCACCTTGAATAACTTGTACGAAATTTTTTAAATCTTTTTTATTTGTTGATTGCTTAAAAACAAAAAGAAAAAGAAAAAGAAGAATCATTATAAATCCAATAAAAGAATATTTTTCAGTTTAGAGATTGATAGTTTATTTTAAAAAAATGTTTAAACTCATCGCCTTGATAAACATCCTTCAATGAAGTTCGTGCTTTTTTGAACCACTCAGCATGCTTTAGTTTATTTACATCGTAGAAATCTGTACCCAAAAGATCATTAAAGATCTTCGACTAGATTAGTCTTTTCTTGTGTGATATTATAGAGTGTAAGGGAATGACTCTGTATTTGATCTTCATCTAAACTTATGCTCACACTCAATTTATCTCGGGCCGATATGTGAGATGTTTGTTTTTTTTTTTTGAATAACAAGTAAACTTCTATTGAGTTTTACTCAATTTCGAAACTTTTTGTTGTTCATAATATCTTACATTTATCTGATATCAAACAAATATAAAGTATTAAATTCTAACCTCATTTGATAAATCGAAAATTTCCTCATAATAACCATTTTCATATTTTAATTCATATTGATTGATATCATCTATTGAAATATTTCCATTAACTTGTACTTGTTTTAAATAAGATACAGTAAGTAATATTAAATCTGAATTAGTAGATAATTGAAAATTATCTACAATTGTTAATTTATTATTATTATTGATTATAATTTTTGGTATCCATCTTATAAAACCTGTTATTGTATTTTGTTGATTATTAAATGTAAAATTTTCAAGATCAAATATAATTTTTTCATTATTAATAAAATCTAAATTAATATTTAAAAATTTTCGTCGATAATTCATTGCTCTTTCAAATAGAAAATTAATTTTTGTATTAGCATTATACCATGAATTAAGTTGTATTGTATTTGTTGTTGTCATATTAAATATTTGTATTGATGATGATGATGAATTATTTATTATACCTGTTGGATGTTTAATAAACATAATTTGCCATTGTGAATAACAATTAAAATTTAATAGAGATGAACCTCGACAACGTATCCATAAGAATTGTTCTATTTGATTATTATATATAATTGAATATGAAAATTGTAGCAATGAAATATGATAAATATTTCTTGATATTTTTAAATCAATTTCATTTTGAAATTTTTTATCAAAATTCATTATTAAAATTTGTTGAAGTTGATTTGATAATTCTAATGTTATTGGTAACCATTGATCTTGTAAAGATGCTTTACTTTCCCATATACAATCAATAATATTTTTATTTTGTTGAATATCATCAAGTATAGTTTTATTTGGTAGAATATTTGAGTTTTTTAAATAATTAATTAAAAGAAAATTTTCAAAAAATTTTCGAATATGTATTTTTGATAGACCATTTTGTATTGGAGTTTCATATAAATTATTTAATATAAAATAATCAGCACCATGTTCTATTAAATATTTAACAATATTTAAATATCCATAATAACAAGCTGCATGTAATGGTGTTGAACCAATAGTTGCTTTAAATGTAGTTATTTGATTTTTTTCTAAATAACTTTCATTTTTAATATTAATAGAACATTTTCCAATTTCAATAAGATATTTAACTAAATTAAAATGATTATTTCTTGCTGCTGAATATAATAATGTTGTACCATAAACACCAGATTTATCTTTTAATGTTGAATAATTTTCTATAAATTTTTTAACTATAGATTCATTACCATGCCATGCAGCTTGACTAGCATCAATTAAAAATAATCGACCACGAAGATTATGTACAAAAGAAAATAAATTATTTTTTGTTAATATATTTGTAAATAATTTTTCTTTAATATTATAATTATATTTATTTAATACATCAAAAAGATAATTTTGACATTGTAATGATAATTTTGAAAGATGATTATTTAATAAATCTTTTATTTGTATTTGAAAATTTTCTAAGATTTTTGTTTCATTAGCTAATTTTGTTTCATATTCTAACTTATTTAAAGTATCAGATACAGCAACAATTAATAATTGTAAACATTCTTTCAATTGTATTTCATCAATATTTTCATGATCCATACGATTAAAAATTCTAAACAAAGAAACAGATATAAAATAGACAAAATATCTTTTTCTCATTAACATAATTTGCAAATCATTGCTGTTGTTTTTTTTTTCTCTTTCGTATAGAAAAGAAAAAAAAGCCCTAGTAAAAAGAACGTATGTAATATTTTATGTATTCAAATTAATTTTTCGAAGCATAATTTAGGATTGTAACAAAAAAATGATGTACATTTATAATAAAATATTTTCATAAATAAATTTTTCGTCTTTTAAACATTGTACGACATGATCGAAAAACAAAAAGTATTGCAATATAGAGGTCAAAAATTTGAATTTCGTCTTTACTTTCTTCTTACATGAAAGACGATAATAGACGTTGTCGATATATCAATAAAGTCACGTGTGTATATATATAAAATACTATTGACGTCAAAATATAAGACAGGTAATAAATTTCTTTTTTCAATAACTTTTGATAGAAATATGTCATACAGAACTACGAATGACGCACTGTAGAAAGTAGAAAAATATTTATTATTTTTTTCTATCAAAAATAGCACACTTATTTGATTTGTAACTAATCAAGTGAATTCTTAATGAAGATTTTTGAAAATAATATTTTGAAGCCATTTTCTATTGCATTTTGAGTTGTCATATGACCATTCTATAAGAGAAATTGTACTTTTTCTATATACACAAGGTCAAGCTCTATAACCTTTTCAGTTCAGGAATTAGCTAAGATTTCTTTAAGAATTCTGCAATCGGCTATTTGACCTCTAACCAAGCTATCATAGATCAGAGCATTGACATTCGATCACGTTAAGTCAAAAGCTAATATTTGTTTTCAGTTTTGAACCTACTATAGCCGTATTTCTGTTATTGCTACTGAAAAGTCATCGGAAGAAAGTGATGGAACTTTGGAAATACTATTATAACAGCTTTAAAAATGAATACAATCAAATTCATTGCATGACATAAATTTTATTGAAAATTTTCTAAATTTCAAAAAAAAAATTTTTCATCTCTATACCTATGTTTGTGAACGTTGGATTCAGTGAAAAACTGTTGACTACGATGTTCAGCGGAGTGTTTAACATATAGTTTCATTTTTGAAATATTGAAATTTTGCTGAGTTTTTCAACAGAAAACTGTGATTTTATTGAGTTCATATATTTACATGTCGAGAAAAAAACTACTAGAACAATTGATGATGATTAATTCATAAAATATAAATATGATAGTTTAATATTCTATTATATTATTTAAATAATAATATAAAAATTCTCCTTACTAAATTCTTATACTACATAAATCAATATAAGTTGATAAAACAAGATGTATTAAGACGCAATTTATACTCGATATACTTACTAAATTTATTAATATTTTTACGTAAAATGTTTCTAATGACAACATTTCAATAGAAAGCAACTTAGGCACATGACTGTTTGGTTTTTTCCCATCTATATGGACGTATTATTCAGGTTGATTTAATATGAAAGGAGAGGTAAAACTAACGAAAAAAAAAAACAAAACATTAAACGAATGATAAAAGATATTGTCATAAAAATAAGTATTGTAAATTTTACAACAATCATCAATGTAATTTGTTATTATTCATAAAAAAAAGAAAAATAAATCTTCATATAAATCATGATCAATATTTTCTAAATTTTTATATTATATCATGTCTTTTCTTTCTTTTATATTGTTCTCTAAAAATGACTCATGATTGTATTTATTTTTTTTCCATACAAAAAAAAACAAACCAATTTTATTATCATCATATTATTCATTAGAAAAAAAAACCCACTGATTTTTTTTTTGTCAAAATCGAAATTGAAGTGACAAATGATTATTAATGAAACAAATAATTATTTCAAACTAATAGTTGCTAACAAAATGTATTTATGATTCGAATAGGTGGCTTCGTATACAAATCAATTTTGAGATTTTTATGTGACTGATTATTTGTCGATATCAACTTTCGAAAACAATATTATTCATCGGAATTCTGATGGTTTTGATACAGCTTTACAGAAAATTAACCAATTATGCAGAAACCAGAAACGATAAGTTTGTTATAATAAACATTGGAAGCTTTTCGAACAAATAGACCTAAATATTATTAAGTTGTAGCGACAAATTTTGATAACAATTTGACATCAGTTTGAGATATGCATGATTAGATTTTGGGAAAGAAATCTGAGACACATGAACGTCTAGTTTATGATTCTTACTATCAGTCTAACTCTCGAAGAACTCGATATTTTAGACTGCAATGTTTATTTGTACGCTTTCTATATTCGAGCCAATATTTCCTGAAATTTATTAGCTAGATCGTTTCTTTTAGGACGAAAATAGATTTATAATAGGAAAGGTTCAATAGAAAAAATTGAAATTTTTTCCTTATTTTTTTTTCTTTCATTTTTTGATGGTTCTTATTGAAACAATAAAAATGAAATCGAAGAAGATCAATGCAATATTCTATTGACGAGATTTTTCATGAACAAAACAAATAAATGTATTTTTTTACTAAACTGAAACATCATCACGATTTGACAATAAAATCATAGTATCATCATGATTGAGTTTGTGGTTTTTTTTTCGTCAAACCATCCATTCATATCGTTGAGAGAGAAATTCTTGCTTGATTTTTCATGTTGACATCGAAAAATCAATCAGATCATTTTCATACAGACGAATATTATATTCAAGAGAACGATTGGATTATAGTTAGTGAAAAAACAAACAAAAACAAGATGTGATAATGAGCAACATTGATAATATATAAAAAAAAGAATGAATAAGCATACTTTGAATAAAACTCTTACTAAAATTTCATTGTTACATTTTTGTTTAATATGATAACATGGAGAATTGTACAGTTTGTTGAATTGTATTTGATGAAACATCTTTATGAAATCGATGCCATGAATCCTCGAATAGCATCGATAGCGTGTGCAGATGCTTTTGGATAGATTCCTATATCGGTAAGAATTTTGTTGATGAAAGAGTGTTTTTTTTCTAAGCGAATTCTTACCAGGTAAAGAAAAAAAAAACCATGAATAACGCCTTTAAAAATTACAAACTTGTTCTTTACACTAGCTTTATCAAGAATTTTCTTATATACACACAAAGACAAGATGAATCCAATTTGTATACATAGACATTTTTTCTAGTAAATAAAGCATGTTCATACCAAAACTATCATCTCGAATCTGATCCACTTCTGCTACAATAAATAAAGTTGATGGTAACTGTTCGGGTGATTTATTGAGAAAGACCGATCTTCGAGGATCATTCATATCAACTTCATCATCAAATGCCTTCTTGATGCACCTGCGAGAAAAAAAAAACCAATCATTTGTTTTTGAATATCAACTCTAACGTAAACTCTTCATACCAATCAATCAATTCAGGTGTAGAAAAATACTGTAGAAGGACAAATTTCTTGTAAGATGGTGCTGCACGAGTAAAATAATAGAAATCATAAACAAGAATCTATTAGTTATTGAGTAACTCCAGGAAAATCCAACTGCTTTTTGGAAAAAGTTTTTTTTTTATCAATTTTTTGTGCTGGTTAGGTGTACAGTGGACAGAAAATAACTTTGGCCGAAAAACTTATGTGACTTTTATCTGAAATACTGTTGCTTCAGGTCATTTTCAAGGAACATCTAAGAATGAGGTCGATCACCTAAGTTATTATAATGTTGAAAGCTCATATTTTGTGCAAAGATAGGTCATCACTAGACTAGCACAATCTCCAAAGAATTCTTTGTTTCAATGTACTTTGACTGAGATATAAGATTTTTAAGAATAACGACTTCTACGTGCTTAACTATGAAAAAAAGCATGTTGATTCGAATGGTGCAAAAGTCATTATCCTTAAAAGTCTTATATCTCAGTCAAAATACATTGAAACAAAGAATTCTTTAGAAGTTGTATTGGTCTAGTAATGACCTAACTTTGCACAAAATATAATCTTTCAACATTGTAATAACTTAGGTGATCCACCTCATCCTTAGATGTTTCTTGAAAATGACCTGAAGCAACAGTATTTCAGACAAAAGTCACGTAAGTTTTTCGGCCAAAGTTATTTTCTGTCTACTATACACCTAACCAACACAAAAAATTGATAAAAAAAAAATTTTTTCCAAAAAGTGGTTGAATTCGCATGGATTCACCCTATTATTGAAACAATTATCATTCATTTTCGAACACAGAACTAATATTGATATCTGAAAATCGATATTTTTCATCGTCCGGCAAACTGATGTGCTAATCATAGTTCCAGCACTATCACCAGCCACACCAACTTTACCTGTTCAGTCAACACCTACATTAAATAATAATTATAGCTAGATTGAAAGAATATGTCAATAAATAAAGAAAATCCAAAAGATTCTCTATTTTCGATGATATATCGAATAACATCACATGCATCATTTAACCAGATGGGATATTTATGTTCAGGATCTAGACGGTATTCAACCGAAATCCAAATAATCTTTGTAGCACTAAATCATGCGCATCGTATCTATTGAATTTCATACTCTGCAAGAAGATTAATAATACATTGCTGTCTTTCGACTGTCTATTATCCAATCTAATTGAAAATAAAATTATTGAACGAAATCAATCGTGAATCATGATCTGACCTTCATCATGAAAGTAAACAACTAGTTTATCTTTATTGATATTATTTGGAGTATAAATACTAACTGGTATATCTAGAATATTAATTTTTTTCAATAGAAAAAAGGTTATTTATCATTATGTCGAAATCTACTAGCAGAATTAATCGCCACATGTTTTTCTTGAAGCTCACCGGTGAATGTTCCATTGTGCTTTTCATTTGCTTTAGTGGTGAGATCTTCGAGAAATGTTCGTAACAACTCAGGCGTAAAAATATTCAGTGATTGTTGAGATGATGCAGCTAATTGATAAAAGGCCTTTGTCTCATCAGTGAATCGTAGATCTCTAGGAAAACAGAAAGAAATATGAAAAAGTAG